TATCTTGGATTCATACTAGAGATCCATATATGCGAGTTAATCAAGTTCAATCAAATATAACGAAGAAAAAACCACATACCAAGGCTCTTAAAAATAATGTCGCGTGTAATTACTCATAAAATTCGACAATGAACACGATTCGAACCTGACTCGTTCTTTTGAAATGAAAAACAGTTATAAAAGTACGATCTAGAGGTTTTAAATCTACAGAACAAAGAGATACGTCATTCATAAATTCAATGCAGAACGATAAAAACAAATCTAATGTAATTACCGCTCAGTATCATATTAAGTTAGACACTTCTTTCAGATTCCGCTGTTCCAGCGCAGACGTCGAGCCACTCACGTCTGAAAATGTGCGCGCTCGCAATGCTATCATTTCCTTATTTTTTGGTATGCGTTGCCATGCTAGGATCCGTAGTTATCATTGTGGATTCGTGTGTGACAATCCCCGGGGTACGTGAGTTTTCAAAATCACTTTTTGAGTCATCTAAATTTTGGTTCACGTGGAACTTGCCGCCAAAGGGAACATTTTTCGGCCCGAGTGCACCCGAGATATGTGAAGCTTGTAAGGATTTTTTAAAGTTCATTATACCATTTTAAGCATATATGTGCTATAAACAGTGTATAGTTTTACATTTTTCTATAAAGGATAAAGTACGTAATAAGTATCTTATAAAATTTGATAACGAAATTCCTGCCTCTTTCACTATGTGATTGTCTATAAGGGTTATTTCTAAACGATGCGAGCGCGGTTACGAATGTTTCAGTGATTACTTAGGAATACGTGTCTTTGGCAATGTGTTGTTGGTTTGAAATGTACTTAGGAATAGTCTTAATGAAATGTGTCGTTACTTTGAAATGATTCTATTTTAAAATTGAAGTTAAAGGTTTCACATTATATAAAAAGATAACTTCTTCAGATTTTAAAAACAATTTTTTTTTATTCCAGGTATTTTATCCATATCATCATTCAATTATGCCGAAGGTTCGGAGGAACAACGGTGATGATGTCTAAAACGAAAATCAAGTTAGAAACATTGTTACATACTTGGTAAATTTGTTCTTTTACTTTTGAATAAATAATATTATTTAAGTTCTGTCCAAAAAATATATATATATATTTTTTTAAATATTAATGTAATTTAATGATACTCTACGACTGTAAAGTTACTGTAACAAAAGTAATGAGTTTACTTAAGCCCATACTTTATTTATTATTTAAAGAGAGATGAACCATGCATTTTATAACTCATCTTTTCAATTTTCCTCATACTTTGTTAAAAGAGACTCCTTTAAATCAGACAGGAAAAAAATTGTATAAAACATGAAACAAATTATTTTATCCATAATCTTAGGTACATGTACATGTATTATGTATTACACATTGCGAAATTAAACAATCAAATTCTCGAGTTACATCTGTGCCCTCTATTTCGCGTTTCTTTCATTAGAATTTTCACATTACATGAAAATCGTATTTTTTCACAAGAGAAAATATAATTGGGGTAATTTCAGTTACGGTTTGCGGTATTGTTGAAAGAAAATACATCAATACGCTGAGAAAACAGATTGTAGAATCGAGTAAAAATCGAATGAATGTATGGATTTTCAATAGTAAATTATAGTTAAAATAATATTAATTATTTCTCATGCACTTTTGATCAATTCCTGTTTTCCGAGAATTTTTCTCGAGGCTAACAGTTCGGAAACACCGGCATATATTTCATTCAATACTTTGTTTCAAGCAGAAATTACGCAAAAACGACTTTTACAGAAAATTGTGCAAGACCGTTTTTGAATTAACTGCTTTTTTAGAGCAGTTCTCTAAGGCAAACATCAAAATAGCATTTTCCATTTTGTAGTTTTCATATGTTCAGTTTTTGCAGTTTAGGAAAATATGAAAGATTCAGAAAATTATTTCTGCGCCATTCTTTTAAGCGTTTCTTATTCGATATTTGGAAAAAAATTGAATTGTTTTTTTTTCCTGAAAATAATTTGTTTAAAAATTGTATAAATGTCAAGTACAAATTACACAAAAACTACTTGTTTTTGTTTTCTTTCCAAAAAATCGTACATGACTTTTCTTAGAGAGCTGATGTTAAGAATAAACTGTTTCATTCAAACATCTCTATCTTAAATTTTGACGTTTTGATATATTAACTTGAAGTAATTTTCGAAAATACAAAGAGTTCGCCGAAAATAGGACTATCGCCATATTTTTACGGTCTCATGATACACACGAGTAGAAAATTTAAAAAAAGAAATTTCTTGCCGATATATAAAAAAGAGCCTTATTTCACGCAAAATAACGAGAAAACGACTCAAATTTTCGAAAAACTGTGCATGACCTTATTTCAAAATCTATCTATAAAAAACAGATTAAATTAAAGAAAATATATATTTTTTCAATAGTTTATGGTATAGTTATATGAAGTCTGACCTGCGCAACCTGACAGGAAGGTTCTGGTCTTCTATATGTGGGATTTGGAACATTCCAAAGAACAGCCTTCGGCCAATCCCGTTCCAAGGTCGAAGCGCCAGGGGCCCAACTGGCGGATTCCCGGGCGAACCCGGCAACACGGATCCTGTAAGGGCAGAAATGATCCGCTTTAAACTGCTTCATACGCCGAATCGTTATTCACAGTGTGTTAATTTGTCTGAAGCTTCCATTTTAGCATATAGGTATTGTGGTGAGTTTTCGTTGGTAGCCCCAATGAAATAATTATATGCGTCGTCATTGCCCTACAATATTAATAATGTTGTTGGCATTGGATATAATTATTCCATTTTAACTCTAACGTGGAATTTCTGTAGAGCAACCAACGCTTTTATTCTTATTATAGATTCTCAAATTTATTCTGCGAGATGTTGTAAATGTATTGTGGATGCTGAATAATACTTTTTGCAATATATTGTTTATACTTTATGCAGATATTCGTTTAAGCTTTCGCCTTTACTTTCCGCCGCAGTCGAGTCTGCAAAGTGAGCCATTGGTCGAATCCATTTATCGTGTGACCGCATCACCTAAGAAACATCAGCGTCTCGAGGCATTTGCGGTGTGTTAGTAACGCGGTTAGCAGTTCGCTCGAGAGTTGGAAACCGGTTGATATTATTAATGTTTCGGTTAGAAACATGCATTTTATCTATTCTTACTATTTCGCCCGGCTAAACCCTTGTGGAATGGAACAGAACATTATTCCCTCAGAACTTGGATTGATGCCTTACAACATCGACTGCACCAACGCAACACAAGGCAACTCTTGCTTTTCTTGACACTGTTTGGTCATAAATAGGGACAGTATTACCATGCAAATGCACGTTCAAATTCTCATTTCAAAGTTCGCCAAAATATAAAAAGTATGATTTGTGGGGGAAAATCAGAAACTGCTGAATCTGACCATACATTGGCACAAATTTTATCTTTGAAGTATACTTCAATTACGTGTGTCGTAGAAAACATTTTCTGCATTTAAAACGTTTGTTTCTGACAAAACGATGGATTTGAGGGGGTAAAATCGAGAAAAAAATTGTAAATTGTTACAAAGGGCAATAAAACAGGAAATATACTAAACTCAAATATGCCTACGCATGTTTTGACAATTTTTGTTCTACATCATGCACATTTGGATATTTGATAATGAATGTGTATGCATATTTTAGCATTTGATAGTGCATGGAAATCCTGTCTCTAGTCGTGAATAATAAAGGTTTGAAAATTTCCCTTCCTGAGTGATATATTTTATTACGACTATGTCAAGCATCAAATTTCATTAATAGATTCAGAAGAGGAAGAGGACAACAAAAAGAACCAGAAGGAGAAAAATATTCAATTCCAGAAACACTATTTATAAATGATCAGCAAAATTATATAAGGTGTCTTT